CTTGAACATTATACGTAACGTATTTGACCAATTGGGCCATGCTGAGATCTGACAGGATGCTCCATTCTGGGAATCTTTATGATGCTGTGGTCTTTTTTATTACCATGCCACCTACTCACAATCATTCTCTAGTGTAGACAATGCTCTTTTTAGCTTCAACCCCTCTTCTTCCACGTTGTTTGGCCCAAATATGGGGCCTTCTCCCTCCAGTTAGTCCTGCCCTTCTTCAAATGACCTTTTCCTCTGGGGTTAATCTCTCATTCCTTTTCTTCTTGTTACCTATCTTGCCCTAAAGAAATATGCTACCTTATCTTCAACCTCCCTTCTTCTTTTAGCTGCCATCTATGTTTCATTCAAATGGACTCAGTCTCCTCCTGACAGCACTTCTAGCCAGGCTCTCTCCATTATCTATAGAAAATCTTCACATGAAGAATAACTTCCACAAGTAACTTTAATGCAGCGCTTACATTATATTCATTTGTTTGAGGTGATTTACCCTCTCATATCTTTAACTATATACAGTATAATTTCATCTACCATCTGTACCTGGAAATAACAAATGAAGTTTTACTCTCCAGTTGGGTTCCCAACATGGTCTCCAGCCAGTCATCCCCCAATATTAGTCATCCATTGTACAAACTACTCAAAGATCTATCCTGGTGTCTTTAAGGTTGCTGGCCTCCCTGGCCTTGCATCAGGGTTCATCTTAATCTATCTCCTTCTGATCTGCCTAATTAAAACTTCTCACTAGAGCTTCCTATTACTTTTCAGGCCTCTGTTCTTCTCCCATTGTATACACTGCTTCTCAAAGTCTGGATTAAAACCCAACATTCGACCCAATAGACCCACCATTATAAGATCTTAACAGGATTTCTGGTAAACATTTTCCTCATCTTATCTGCCCACACCACTCCAGCTGCTTCTAACTACTCTTCATATGTTCTCCCTTTATATAGTTCCCAGTCTCCCTCCTCTTTCTTACTTCACCATGATCTTTGGTACAGTTATGGTGCCTTATCCCTCCTGTCAATTTCTGGCCAGTCTTCAGATGACCCATCTCTTCTGCAGGCTCTTCCACCCTTTTCCCAGATTGACCCTGGAGAAACGCCCATGTTACCTACACAGTCACTTGTTTTTTCAACTGCTATCTTTTTATTATTCTTATGGATTCAGTAGTCTTTTCTTCTGTCTTCCTTGTCACCTCTACACTGTTCTGAATACACCTGCACTCTCCAGTCCAGACCTTCATAGGGTTCCTGTGATTGGCCATGGCTCAGATCTATCCCATTTCAACTCCTTGACCTTTTACTCTACTGGTTACACTTCTTGCTTCAATTATTATTCAAGCGGAGATTCCCAGATGGCACTCCCTCATGACACCAATTCTTATTTAGCCACTTTGTCTTTAAGTCTCTCTCCTTCTTTGGTTGTAATCTAGCTTAACTCAAATCTCTCTACTGCATGTACCACTCTGCCATTTTCCAGTGTTCCTCATTCTGGCCCTCTTTAATGCCCTTCCCTGCCCATACTTTATATTCTGTACCCCAGCCTAAATCCTATGTCATTGGTTTTTTTTTTTTTTTTTTTGGCTTCCAGCCTCTATGTTCTTCTCTTTATCCTCCCCTGTGATATTTGCATGCAAGCGTCCCTAGGAAATGTCTGTCACTTTTAGCCAGTCCTCACATAGCAGGCTAACTTCTAAGAGCAACTTTAATGGCACAATGTTCAATAATCTATGGTACCTCAACTATGTCATCCTTTCATTTACCATCTCTCTACAGAAGAAACGGATGCAGAATTCTTCCCTTCAGATGTACTTCCTCCTCATAATCTTTAGCCATTCCTCATCTGGTAGCAATAATCCATTCTTCAGACAAACTCCCTGTTCACCCTCTCTAATAAGTCAAGCCTAATATCCCTAAAGTTGCCAGCTATAGCTTTTTTTATCAGCATTAATCTTAATCAGTCTATAAACTTTCCTATCAACCAAGTCCTTTAATTAGCAATTTCCCTCCAAAGCTAGTCTACTGCTTACTCCTACTGAAGTGCTTGCTCCTCATCTTTTCTTTGTGTTTCCCATGCAACATGGCCTTTTTACCCAAAATGTGACCAATTAGACCTCGTTTGAGCTGACAAAATTTCCCATTCTGGATCTTTAGCCCATACCTGCTCTACATGTAGGCTCTCCACCACACAATATTCTCTTTCCTTTACTTACGTTCTCTTAGGAATGCTGTCTTATCCTTCCAGATGTCTGTCATTACTTAGTGACTAACTCCTTTTCATCTGAGGGCAACTTTAATATTGCCCTTTTTGTCCTAAGAAAAAACCTTACCTTCAACATCCCTCCTGCCATTTGTATAGCATTCCCATGGATTCAACACTGTTTTCTGGGTGGGTATATACTCATTTTTGGCACTCACTGCTCAACTCGCTTTCATCTTCCTTGATTTCCTACACACTATGCAGCATCCATTCCTTCTCAGTCCAGACCTACATGGATTGCTGTAGTTAGCCTGCGTACAGATCCATCCCTTTTACCCTCTTTTTAATCTTTTGCCCTATTGACAGAGCCTTTTCTTTAATTATTACTCCAACAAAGCTTTCTGGAATCTCCTCATGACCCCATTTCTTCTTTAGTCACAGTTTCTCTCCAGTGGTTGAGACCAGGCAGCTCCCTACCACATTTCCCACTCTGCCCTTTGCCACATTGCATGTTCTGCACCCCTGCCCAGCTCACATGCCCCTCCCTTGCCTAAGCTGCCAGAGTCCATCTTTTCTCTTTCTCTGGGTTCTTTTCATACAAAGGATCTCTTGGGTGGCTCTCATTTTCAGTCAGTCCTCAAAAGATAAGCCATTTCTGAGAACAATTTTAATGTAAATCTCCATGGCATTCTTCCCTTATTCCCTTTGGCAGTTGCCTTTGTTCATGTAGCTCTCTTATCTTTATATTATGGCAATGGAGTGGGTATTATTCTCTTGCCACGGAAAGGCTCCCTCTCACCTCCTCTCCTCATCACCCATGTTAGTCATCCTGTCTAGCAACTTTGATAGGTATTACTACCTATGATTTTCTTTGGAGTTCACCTGAGACTCCCTGTAACCTCTCATTGTCTCAACCAAACTATTTAATTAAAAATTTGCCACAAAGCTTTCAGGTATTAGCTCTACTAATACCATCCCCTATTTACTTCCTTAATCTGTTTCTCTGTATCAGGTACTTATACGTAAGTGTCTTTGTCTTTACTTCTACATAAAATTCAGCCAGTATGCCCCAGTCTGTGATCTGCCATCATTCTTGACTGTCTGTCCTCATTCCCCTTCCTCATTTGCTGTAGCCTCCCTGCTTCATCTGAACCAAGCTGGGCTCATAATCTATGACTTAATGTCTGTCCTGACTCTTCTTACTTGATCATGACCTTTTTCTCTACCATAATCCCATCTCTTTTCTTTTTAAATACCTCAGCTGACCTATTCTGGCTTTGTGTTAACTTCCACTTCTTTCTTCTGTCCCCATCCCCCTGAAGAAAACTCTACCTTACTTTAACCACTCTTTCCTTAATCCCTTTAAAGCACTGAAATAGATTCTGCAGCCTTGATAGGCATACTCTTTCCCATGTGGGCCAACCTACTACCATCATCTGTTTTCGATGTATTCTATTCAATCCATCTCTTCTCTGAATTCAGACCCATTCTTCATAGGATTCCCACCGGTGGCTTAAACTAGGCATGTCTTATCTAGCTTCTCTCTAACCTCTCAGTCTCAACTGCCTCAGTCAGACCTGTTGGAAAATCATTTGAAATACAACATTATTTCACAATTTGTTCCTGAACAAATTCTCTTCTCAGCACCTATGCATTGGCACATCTTTTATTATTTCCAACTACCCCCATGGACTTTCTCGCCTCTTTTCTTTTGCTGGGTACCTTCCTCTGCTTGCCAAAGCTCTTTTCCCTCTTTTGCGATCCAATTACACCGTTGTATCCTTTCACATTTTTAATGATTTTCCCAGGCTGTTAATCCTGCACCCTCACATAGCACTCTATTAAACATTCACTACATGTTTGGATGGATGGATAGATGGATGGATGATGGAGTTTAAAGTTCAGACTGAGCAGATGAATGTCTTACTACTTAGCCTGTCACATATGGTCTTTACATCTGAGTCTATTCTTTCCTCTCCTTCCCTATCCCCCAAATAACTTTGTAACTCCCCAATTTCTAATATTTTTGTACCTCTAAGCCTTTTCCAGACCATGGATTAGAACTTAAATGCATTTTCTTCATCCATGCTTGCCAAATCCCCTCCTTCAAACAGTTCAGAAAATCCTGTGTTCTTCATGAACACTTCACTTTCCAAAAAAATGTCCTCCCCCCCTCAATTTCTTATTACTTATACCACTTATCTCAAAACATACAACTACCCACTTGCTTTTCCATTTTAAGACACTGACTAGAACCTCACTGTTGACCTACTTACTACAGGTTGGAAGTTGATATAAAAGCAAGTTCATTCTGGTGATCTGTGGGCCCCTTGTCAGTCCATAATCTAAAGATAGTATTGAGACTCTAATGTACTTGCTCAGTGTTAATTTGATGACCTGTATGCTTTTTACCATCAGCATTTTTTGCTTTGTCAGGTCCTAGAGCAGTTCTTTCTCAACATACTTATTTTCCAACATATAGGCCCTTTTGACAGGTATGGCAAAAAGTCCCCAAAAGTATCTCCCCTGCTGCTTTCTTCATACTCATACAAAAACAGTTTGCCCATGTCATCTTTTCTGTGCTATTCTAACCCACGGTGCAGAATGGACTTTAAAATCATATTTTGTGAGACCGCCTTTTCAACTCACTTTCAGGCTGCTTTTGAGAACCACTCCCCTAAAAAACATGCATGTTTAAATTTGAATGTGTGGAACACAGTGCCAGGTACAGATGGTGCTTCCTAAGTAGCCTGCGCTACTCACTGACGCAGGTTTGCCCACTCTTTCTCTTCCAGTTGCAGGCACTTTCAGCTGCACCATGAAGTTTACAGTCCGGGACTGTGACCCTAACACTGGAGTTCCAGATGAGGATGGGTATGATGATGAGTATGTGGTGAGTCTTCCCAGCAGAGAGACTTTGACACTTTGGCAACACTAAATGACTTCTGCCTTGAGAAAACATTTTCTAGAATCATCTGACATGAACTTATGGGGTTTCTATTCTTCTCAAACAGATTACAACTGAGAAGGACCTGGAACAATCCTCCTCTATAATGGGATTACATCATGCCAAAGAGAATTCAGATTTACCAACTTCATAATTAATTAAAACAAACTCACTCTTTTTATTTTTCCTTATAATAGGGATAACTAAGAGTTGAAAATAGTTACATGATTTTCATTGAGGTCACTTTTATTTAAAGCGGTTTTTTGGTTCTTTTTTGGGGTTTTTTTTTCCTTCAGCAAACAGTTTAGTTTGTTTTTAATAAAGCCATATCACAGACTAAAAATCCTTCACAGAATGGAGGGAAAACTTTTAAAAATATCGGCTTCAGTGAATGCGAAGTTCAAAGGGTACTGTACGGCCTGAACAGTGATTAGGTGTGGCAACATGACTACTTTGTACCTCAGGGCTACAGATGTTCATCTGAATTTGGCTCTTGCCAGAAGTCCTATTTTCTTGCTTTCTTTTGCTAAGTAAGACCTACAGCATTAGATTTATGTAGACTACAGAACTTAAACTATTTTGGTGGTTAGAGTTTTTCCTATGCTCCTGCAGGAATGTAACACAGAATGACAAAACAATATTAATTAGTCCCTTTAGCTTTGTCCTATAACAGAAAGGACTTTTCTTTACTGACGCCTGCTTGTTACCTACTAGCTGGAAGATCTCGAAGTGACTGTGTCTGACCACATTCAGAAGGTACTGAAGCCTAACTTTGCTGCTGCCTGGGAAGAGGTGGGAGATACATTTGAGAAAGAGGAGACCTTTGCCCTCAGTTCTACCAAAACCCTTGAAGGTGAGAACAGTTTTGCTATCATCATATTGCCTGATAGCAGTATTAAACCTGATAAGCAATTTGTTACTCCAGAAGAACTCCCTTTTTAAAAAAAAGTACTTCCTAAGTCACTTACTTAAAAGGCCAGAACCCTGTCTTCACCGTCTAATTAAATCACCCATTTTCTAGTCCGCTAGCCTCCCTCCATGCACCAGCGCCGCCACCCCCTTCCACTCCCCAGCTACCAGCACATCCTGGTGCAGAGGCAGATCCCTATGCTTAACTTTCCTAATACTGTTGAATGGATCTTCTCAACACAGAAGCTGTCAACAACATCATCACATATCTGGGCATGCAGCCATGTGAAAGGTCCGATAAAGTACCCGAGAACAAGAATTCCCATTCACTCTATCTAGCAGGTAAGAAACTTCCATTAGATTTCCCTTATATTTTGTTGCAAAATTTAATATGAAGGGATATGGATGGGCATCGCATGGCTTGCTATTGTCTTATCACCCCATTACGAGTAACAATTTGAAGCCCAGTCAAAATGAATAATTTGTTTTGCATGCTATTCTTAGGTTATTCTTTTAAGATCTATATTTGGCCTAAAACACTTACTCAAGTGTCTCCCACAGATACCAACCTCCCCTCTTGAGTACTTTTGAATACCTTCTGTGTACCTGGTCTCATGGGAACATAAAATCTAGAATTTATTTGTAGGATTCAATTCTCACAAATCTCTAGAAAAGCTAAACAGAAAGGAGATGCAGGGAAAGCATGATAAATCTCATTATTCAGAGCTTATTTTGAGTTCTTAATATGATTTTCCTCACCTTTTTCTCAGGTATATACCGAGGTGGCTATGATTTATTGGTGAGGTCCAGGCTGGCCTTAGCAGATGGAGTGACCATGCAGGTGACCGTCAGAAGCAAAGAAAGAACACCTGTAGATGTTATCTTGGCTTCTGTTGGATAAGCTCTTACTGGGCAAGATGAAGTTGATGTATACTTCACTGTCAGTGGACTTTTAGGTTAGTGGCATGAACACTTTGACTTTGAAAAAGCATGTTAAACATTTGGCCCTGAGCCAGCAGATCAAGCAAATGTCTGTCCTTGCACATGGGTTGGGGTTTTTTTCTTTCTTTTTATTATACTTGGTCAGCTTTGGTATAATAGTGCAGCTTTGGGCAATCTTGAAAATCAAATATTATCCTATACTCCAGCTGCTTAACTTCATTATATTTTTTTCTTTAATTTAATGTGTGTCTGAAAGCTCCTGGCAATGTTGGAAAATTTTATCCCAGAGGAGAAGTGGGGGAGGGGAAGCCAGAGTCCACTTTTGTCACAATTCATTTTATTAATAGAAAATAAACACTTATTCCAGTTTAAAAGTTGTTATACTTAAAGATGCTAATAAAAAATGAATTTAAAATAATCACCTAATCCTGCTTTAACTAAGACAATGAAATGTGGCTTAAAAAAAAGTATTCAGCACCACTGCTCATAGGTCTTTCAGAATTTGTTCTTAAAGCTTCCAGAACTTTCCTGTCTGTAAGGTACAGGAATTGCTGAGCTACATGAGAAGGCCTCTCTGGGACAGCCAACGGGGAGTTAAGCAATCATCATGAAAGGAATCGACGTACGTTCAGCATGGTAACTGCACAATGATCCCCTCCCTTCAATTTTCTAATAACTGAGGTATGAGGAGTCAGAATGTTGTTTGCTTTTAGAATTGGTCTTTCCAACTGACAACAGTCAATCTCTGGCACAGATGCTATTGGTTCTTAATGTCCTGTGATTTTAGGAAATTCTGTAAATAGTTTGGATTTAGTTCAATTCAAAAATTAAACAAGTGTAATAAGGGTCACTACTTTGGCAGAATAAGGGTCTGCTGGTTTAGTATCCTTATAAAATACATATAATATATGTAGGTAAATCATAGTCTTAAAGTAAGTATACTTAGAATACCGCGTTATTTAAACCAATATCTATTTTAACAAATATCTATAATTAGAAGCAGCTGATGAAACTAAATCCAAAGTTATGATAAAGGAGACTCACTCTCACTTGATGCTGTGTTGCTTAGAGAACTTTAAAAAAGTTTGTGCCCTTAAAGCCATTCAAGGAGAGGTAAGGAGGTCCTCTCTCATTTTTTACTTGAGGATTCCAATTGGGGCTGGGCCAGAAATTAGCACTTCTGAATGTTTGAGAAAAGTCCAAAGAAGTATTAAAAAGTCTTTTATGCAAAAGACTGTCTTTCTGCATCAGTGAGTAGTAGTGCTCATCAGAATTTCCTAATAACACAAAGACAAAGCAAATCCATCCACTTTTGATCAGATGTCAAAGGAATGGGAGGCGGGCTATTTTGTCAACCCTTAGTCGGAGCTCCTGCTGGCCTTTTCCTATATACTGTTCACCAATGTGAGTAAAGTGGACTTGAGAGAATAGTGTTTGATGGCCAGGACCTCTTTTGGGCATTTCTTCCTGAGTGGAATACACAACAGATAAGGGAGTAGGGGAGGTAATACAGGGAAGCTACTCTTTCCAGCTCAGAAGGAGTTGATGAAGCCCATATATGCATTCAAGAAGCCCATGGGATCCTCTAGCTGTGGATAGTGGCTAATGTGGTCATCCAGAATCGACACTGTGGACCGCGGCAGCGTTTTCCTAGTGGAAGAGAACAGCATGTAGGTGAACTTGAGGCTGTAGGGAGGGGGAGGGATGTAAGCCAGTGGGAAGCCCCAGTAAATGCCCCTGCGGACATACCACACTGGAAGGAACCAACAAAGAGCTTATTCACCTTCTACTTTGCAATTGTATCTTAGGCAGATAAACTTGCCAATTAGACTTATACAGACTAATTTTTAAATGTTCATTTTCCAACTGACAAAAATATAACATTTTTGCAACAACTGTCAAAGCAGGATGACTTTTAGCTTCTTAGAGAAGCCCCATTAAACAAGTGGATCACTTAGCAACTCACTGCCCAAGCAAAGATAACAAAGGATGTGCCTTAATCCCAGGAGGAGATCAGAGAAAGTATTTTGTTTAAAATTATATGCAAGCTTTTTACTACTGGGTTGTGTCCACTAGGCCACAGGAAGGTATGGAATGTTCTTATGTTTCTTATTCCAACACCTTCCAAGTAAGAACCTGGAGAGAATAACCCTGTGAGAAGGTAGTCTTTCCACAGTGAACTCTTCTCAGTCTCTCCTTACAGTCTGGCTTAGTTTTGGCCAATGAATTGGCTTTATAGTCAAACTAAAACAAACATTTCTTAAGAGATACCCAGTTTCATTCTTTGACTCACTTGATAGCTTTCTTACCTGTACATCTAGGAATATGTAAGTAGCCATTACAGTGAAAACAGGCTGTATAAATCAAGAGCATGTATAACCGAATGTCTTGATGTTTAAGTTTATATGAGAATAAGAATCCCCAACTCATCTTTTTATGATCTGTTTCCTGGATAAACAGCCTTTGAGGTCAGAGACAGTGGCTACAGCCAATAGCCCGCCCACAGGTAATTCTGTTCACCACTGTCAGGATGAGATACTAATGAAACAAAGACCTGTGAGGGAGACTCACCTGTATAACTCCAAAAACTCTGGATAGGGATTAACAGGATCCAGTGGCCCATAGATAAAATGAACTAGGAAAGAGAAGATGAATGATTACTAACAGCTCTCACATGTACTTTCCTACCCCCACCTTAAAATTAACTCCTCTCCAAAAAAGATTTTCAGTACATAAACTTTATGATAGAAAATCTAGCTGCTTTTATTAGGTAGGCTATAAAGAACTGTTGGGAACAAGCCAGTTAGCTCATTTGGCACATTTTCTCCTGTATATAGCCATTTGGTCTCTCCTCTAGCTCTTCTGTGCCCTAGACCAAAAGGAATAAGCCCCACTTTCAACATTCTCTTTCTGTAAATCCAGGATACTGTCATTCTGTAAGTCTCTCTCTTCAGTTATAATTGACCCTTGACATTAGAAATCAACTAATAATTTCCTGAGCACTAACTACTATGTATGAAACACTCTTACTACTTTTTTTTTTCTTTTTAAATCTATAAGAGGGAAGAGACAAATGAGCACAAACCACCTATAGCCTCTTGATTAGTAATCTAAATGGCCGTCTGCCCCAGCAATTCAGCATTTAATGTAGCAGACATTGGTAATGCACACCACAGAAACCAGTGATACCAACTACCTTTGCAATGTCTCATATGATGTTTTATATAATGCTTCACTCCACATATATATCACTGGGGTTCCAGATGTTGGGATCAGGGTTGCCAATAAAATAAAGGATGCCCAGTTAAATTCGAATTTCAGATAAAAAATGAATTGTTTTGGTGTGTATGTCCCAAATACTGCACAGCACATGTTTAAATACTGAAAAAGTATTTGTTGTGTATCTAAAATTCAGATTTAATTGGGTGTCTTATATTTTTATTTGCTAAATCTGGTAACCCTAATTGGAAGTAATAGGAGTTGCAGCTATTTTAACCCTACAGTCCTTTGGTTTTCCTACTAAGAAGTAATATGAAAGTACTCACTGGGAATAGTTACAGAGGTAAGAGCTCCCACCCAGCGTCTTTGAAACTTCTGCCGCTGATTGATGTACTGTAAGAGACTATTGGACAGATAAGTCAGCAGGAGCAGGACAAGAAACCTTTATTAAGGCACCACAAGCAACACAATATATGATTTCTTAACCCAGAAGCAACTTGGCATTCCTGGGAATGGCCCACTTAATTTATCCATTTCTGTTAACCTCTAGAGTCAACAACCATGTAGCTATGGCAGTGATCGTACCTACTATCAATGTAAGATTAACAGTACTGTGTGTTTATTAAGCAGGAATGAGATCTATTATTAATAGGAAGATGGAAAGTTGTTTTGGATCATATGTGACTAAAGCCTGGGTCTGAGGTTCCAATTTTGGCTCTGCCACTAACTAGCTCTATGACTCAAACACATCTTTTCCTCAGTTTCCTCATTTTTGGATTTTTTTATTTTTTAAGAGATGGGTCTCACTATGATGCCCAGGCTGAAGTACAGTGGCTATTCACAGGCTCACTGTGATCATAGCTTACTGCAGCCTCAAACTCCTGGGCTCAAGCAAGCCTCCCACCTCAGCCTTCTCCCCAGTAGCTGGGACTGCAGGTACATACCACCAGATCCAGCTACTTTTCTTGTTTTTAAAATAAGAAGATTCAAGTATATGATCTCTATGTTGACATCTCTAAAATTCTAAGTGCAGAAGTTTATGAGCATAAAGCTTTATCCTCAGCACTTTATCGGACCACAGATAAAACAGAGAGAATTTCTCTTCCTACAGTGTAAAATATCATAGCCACATTGTAGAACTCAAACTCTTGTATTCTAGTTGTTCTGCCTGGCAAGTCCAGGACAGTTATTTTTGTGAACCTCAAAAAACTGTGGAATTTCCTCTTAGAAACTGTATTTACTTTTTGAAAAGGAAAATATAAGAGAATTTTAAAAACAGTCTTGTGTTTCAATTTTTTTAATATTCAAATGGATCTCCAGGGATCCCACAGGGGATAGAGGGGGGAAGGAAGAATGGCTCCCTCTAACACACAATTCCTAGCAAAGCCATCAGAGTTAAAACACTGGAAGCTACACTGACCCAGCTGGCAAAAAAGAGCCTTATTTCAAGTAGTTACAGATATCACCATTTCTAGATGCCTCCTTGAAAGCAACTAAATTCTCATTTGAATTAAGGCACTGGAGTTCTCTGCACAAGACAGGCAGGTCTGCCGTCTCAGTCCTGTTGCTACAGGAAAGATTTGCAAAAAGAAAAGCTTTGTACTTTGAGAGAGGCAGTAAGTTTCTTTCACAACTATGATTAAATATTTAAGTGTTTACTATTAACAAAAAGTCCAAAGAAGGATTTGCCAAAATCAATCTGTCAGTTGTAAACTCAGTTAGCAATAGAATTTACAGCTGTTTGTCTAAAGTTTTGTGCCACATGGCTTAGGCTTGGGGCTTACTCTATTCTCAATTTCTCTCTTCTTAGAAAGTACTGTTTTTGGTTTGCCTCATAGGTCATAACCAACCTTCCTGTGATAGGGAGCAAGCCAGCAAGGAACAGAACAAGCAATCCTGCATCTTTCCCCACTCTCCAAAAAAAGCTTCTTGGGAAACCAAAGCAAGAATTATTTCTTACCTGTCAATGACTAAGTTCCCGTCATTGTTGCGGATCCCTGCCCACATGTCCCACAGTTCGCTCTCGGAGGGCCGAGTGTACGGCCCAAAGACTGGGGTGAGACTGAAAGAGTCCAAAATGCAGGAAGATAAGCAAAAGGAGAACTCAGACTGTTAAATGTGACTGGAACCTCAGAGGCCATTGCAGTCTGACCCATACCTGATTTATGAATTCCTTCTACTCCTTCCCTGGCAAGTGGCCAACACCTTAGCTTTAAAATACAAACCCTAGGATGTGGCCCAGAATTATAATGGCAGCGACTTTTCACTATATTGTTCCAAGGCCATAGTCGATCTCTGACAATGACTTACCCTCTCGAGAATACAAAGAAGTTCATCAGCCGCGTGAGGATGGGTGACAGCACGCCTCCATCTTTGAGTATCTGTGGGGGAGTAAGTGGAAGTAAAGATCAAGAATCCAGAGAAAGACGACAACTCACCAGGACAATAGGTTTTATACTAGGAACTGAAAAGGGAATTTAGCCACATCTCCTACTCAAAGGCTTGGTAGTTTGGTTTTTGTTTTTTGTTTGGCCTACCCACATTCTCTCCTGGAAGACAAATCTATTTCTAATTTCACTTAAGATTATGTTTCTACCTTTCACTAAATCCCTAAGATTTAACTCTGATATGTTCAAGTTTAGATTAGGATCCAAATTTGTTCAAACATCATGCTTATGACACAAATCTCTCCATAGCTGTATTTCTCTAAATATTTGTTGATCTCTTATTCTCAGAAATAGTTTTAGGTTTTATATAGGGGCCACTTCCTTTGCTTTATTTGCCTAAGAAGGGAAAAACTTCATTAATGTAAATTCCCAAGGAAGGCAGTTTTAACTATGGCCCATTACAAGAGGTATGGCCCTTAGAAGGTCCCAGCATTATGTCAGCACCAATCTTAAAACTAAAGATCTATTCAATGAAGTAGCCAACCTTTTGGAGAAGGAGAGGATGATGAGTCTCAGGAAAAATACCTGTAGAAGAAAAGACTTAGTCATTTACCTACAACTTTAGGTCAAAGGCAAGCTGGTTATCGGAGACCATCCACCCTATTCACTGCCCCCTTTGGGGCTTATACTGCCAAAACAGAATTACAAATAAAAACTTAGAACTGTCATCTAATTACTTCTCCAGGGAATTCTGTGTTTGACTGGTCAGATTATATACCACTGGAATTACTTTTCCCATTTTAAAGGTAGAGAAATGGAAGACGTAATTTATATGCTTATCCTTAATGCTGATGACTAGGCTCTGGACTCCCCTTAGCATTTCCTCCCATTGCTCAGAACAGAAATGTTGTTAATGATTTGGGCTACAAGGAAAAAAAACAGGTTTTTCAGTAAGCATAGGTCCTAAAAAAAAAACAAAACTAGTTTTTCCTTTTCCGTTTTTCGTCAGAGTCAATGGAAGAGCTACGAGCATAGCTGTTAAAGGGACAGACAGATCCCTCTCCCAATCTGTTCTTAAGGCATTCAGGGACATTTGGGGATTTATGGATTTACAAGCTGGCTGTCCAAAAGGTCTAATCAGGGATTCACTCATTTCTAACTTGGCATGCCATCAGTTAGGAGTTTAAGAATCTACTATGTTTAAGTCCTCATTTAATGTCATTGATAGGTGCTTAGAAACTGTGACTTCAAGCGAAACCATGTACACCAGGTCCTCAAATAACAGCATTTCATTATAACATTAATGAGAAGGGAAAAAACTGGTTTCGTTATATGTTTCATTTGAAGTCATAATTTCCAAGAACCTATGAAAAATGTTACGTGAGGACTTGCTGTACTAACACCTGTGGCTTTATTCTATATCTTCAAAATCCAATACTTTTATAATCCATTGCAGTTATTACAGATATTGCAAAACAGTATTTACACTTCTCACTACTTCTAATCATAGTTGTTACTAGACCTTCCACTAGATCTTGCTATCTAATGCATTAAAAATGAAGCATATATTACTATATGCAGTTTTTTATTGACAGTATGTCAATAAAATCACTTTCCTTTGTAATCCTTTTTATTTTCTGTATTTAAAAACATTCTCAGAAAGGTCCACAATCTAATCAGACCACCAAAACAGTCCACCGCACAAAAAAAGGTAAAGATCCTTTAGTTTGTGTCTACTTGCAATATCATCAGATTACCATTTAGATGTCACGTGATACCTAAAGGTGGCCCTTCTAGGCTACACCCCACTTTCCACCTACCGCCAAAGTAATTACCTCCGTTTGACAGACACAGACTCTTTATGGTAAGCCGCCCAGATCGATTCTGCTTGTACCTAGAACAGGAAATGAGGAAACACACATGTGGCTGAGTGGACTTACACCAGTACAGCAGCTGAAGACAAACTCCTAAGGGGGAAAAGGGAAAGAAAGAGTCCAAGAACAATTTACTTTCCTAGCATCTTAAGCTAGTGCTTCACTGACCTATAGAGCAGCTCCTGAGCAACAATGTCTCCATAATCGTGAGACAAAAGGTTGATCCTACGGTTCTGGAGCCCCAGATGCCGCAAAAGCGCTTCCACGATGCTGGCTTGCTCAAATATGGAGTAGTGATGTGGTCTCTGAGGAAAAGGAAGCCCCAATGTACAGGATGAAGTCATAAGTACAGATCTCTCTGCCAGCCTGACCCCTCTGTCCATATCCCCGCCACCCACCAGCACTGGTCCCAGAGAGGTGTTGCTTACCGGTTTGTCACTGAAGCCAAAGCCTAAGAAATCAAGGGCAATCACTCGATGAAACCTCAAGGTCAGACCTTCCCAAATCTACAAAAAGGAAAGGATAATTTGGACCTTCTGCTCCTGCCCCAACCCTCCCACTTCCGCCGCTGCCCTACCTACCCCCCACACCTAGAGCAGCAGTGAAGCTTCATCCCTATCTTGGCTTAACAGACTTCGATAAAGAGAAAAAAACCTCATGAAACCACCACAGGCCCCATAGATGATCTTATTGGAAAGTGCTTTATTTCTAGTACTTAATCTCTATTGAGGGAAGATAACTTCTCAATAATCCTTTTCCAGATTGCGGAAGATTTTACTCCCTTACAGCAAATAAGAAACAGTTCCACATTAAATGCTATTTTATTAAGCAATTCAGATTTGCAAGAGCCTTCTAGCACTGAAAACAAAATCCTTGATTTTGAATTTTTTAAGACATAGTAGGACCTAGAAATCTGACTTTATTACCTTGTACCAATCATAGCTGGATGTTGGAAAGCCGTGTAAAAGCACAACTATCTCCGGGCTTCCAACCACACCTGCAGAGTCTGGGAAGGAGAGAGATCAATTAGGCCAAATCCCTATAAAAATAACCTCAAAGATAGTAAAAGCTAAGTAATTGGTACAAAGGACAACAAATTGTGACCAAATTAATAACATTAAAATAATACATTTTGGCCAAGTGCCGTGGCTCACACCTATAATCCCAGCACTTTGGGAGGCTGAGGCTGGAGGATTGCTTGAGGCTAGGAGTTCAAGATGAGCCTGAGCAAGAGAGGGACCCTGTCTCTATAAAAAATAGAAAAATTAGCCAGGCATGACGGCACATGCCTATAGTCCCAGCTATTTGGGAGGCTGAGGCAGGAGGATCACTCGAGCCCAGGAGTTTGAGGTTACAATGAGCTATGATCACACCACTGTACTCTAGCCCAGAGAACAGAGCAAGACCCCATCTAAAAAAAAAAAGATACTTTTTTAAAACGCAGGCGTAAGCTGGGCACAGTGGCACACGCCTATAGTCCCAGCTACTCAGGAGGCTGAGGAGAGAGGATCATTTGAGCCCAGGAGTTCAAGTCCAGCCTAGGCAACGTCATAAACAAATAAAATAACTTGAAGGCAGCTTGCTTACTTTCACCTAAATGTTTTTTAAAAAGCATATCCCCATTTCTTTGTTTATTATGTATTAACATCAATATGCAAGTTGTTTTTCACAGTAAAAAGTAAACTTTCAGCCGGGCGTGGTGGCTCACGCCTGTAATCCTAGCACTCTGGGATGCTGAGGCAGGCAGATCATTTGAGCTCAGGAGTTCGAGACCAGCCTGAGCAAGAGCGAGACCCCGTCTCTACTAAAAAAAAATAGAAAGAAATTAACTGGACAACTAAAAAAATATATATAAAAAATCAGCCCGGCATGGTGGTACATGGCTGTAGTCCTACCTACTCAGGAGGCTGAGGCAGTACGATTGCTTAAGCCCAGGAGTTTGAGGTTGCTGTGAGCTAGGCTGACGCCACGGCACTCTAGCCTGGGCAACAGAGTGAGACTGTCTCAAAAAAAATAAATAAATAAAATAAACTTTCACTGTAAGAAATATATAATCCCAACATATAAGCTACAAATTCTTTGTACCTTAGCAATAATGGCGTCACAAAAATTCTCTACGATAATGGCAACTCTTCCCGACAAACACCTTAGTTAACATGCTGTTTGTCTAGCACTTTTTATTTCAGCAGAGACCCAATCCAGTATCAAAAGCATAATACTCAAAACTATTACAAAATTATACTAACTATAAAAAAGAGTTAATCAACATAGACATGAACATTTTTTTAATGCATATGACAATATGGAATCATTAAACATCTTTCAAATTAGACAAACATTTAGACAGTATTAGCCTTAGTATTGGATTAAAACTGACACATTTATATACTGCCAGTGGCATGAAAATTTGGTAATAAAGTTTTCAAAAATAATTTAGGAGCAATTAAAATTATATACTTTAGCTTAAGAGTCTTATTCTTGAGAATCTATGCAAATAAAATCATTCCATTTAGTCAAGTGGTATAGTTTGAAAGTGTAAGGAAAAAATAAGCTGTATATACAATGTTAATTATTTAAAACACTGAAAAAATGGAAACAACCCACACCAACATAAAATTATATACTTACTTAACTGAATACAGCAAATGAGAGGAGGTCAGGAGCAATAATGAAAAACGGTTTATGACAAACATTTTTCGTTATTGCTCTTGACCCCCGCCCAAAAGAAATCTTTTCCAATCTGTTTCTCGGTTTCTTCACCTATAAAATGAGGTTAATGGCACACCACCTATCTCCAAGTGCTGTTGTAAAGATTAAACAATGAAAGCTGAAAACGTAACTCAATGTTTGGCATACAGTAAGTAACTACTTGATAAGTAGCTATCATAATAATCATTAGCAAAGTAATTTATATAATGGTATAAGACTTAAATCACACTTAAGTCTTTATAGAACAAACAGTTTTATAAAAGGAAATCAGAGATGGTAGGAGGCCAGAACCAATGGTGGTTAGTTCTAGGAATATTGGATGTATTACCTGAACCTCAAAAACACTATCTGAATACAAATCAGGCTACAAAGAAAAAAAATTATACTAAAAAATCAAGCCTATAGAGTAGAATCTCAGTACCACACCCCACCCTCCCAGCAGTTTTCTATGTTTCCCCGCTATCCAGTAAACGAGCGGAATTAGTCCATTCCTTCAAACGCACTACACAGAAATAGGGGTTACTCTCCCCTATCACGAAGGAGCAACAGATGGACACAAAATAAGTACCTCAGCCTGGCCCGCTGGGATCTACACATGCAGGTGTTCCAGTAGTCCAGGTCTTACCTTGGTAGAAGATGCGCATTCCCTTGTAGGTGAAAAATTTGCCTGAAGCCTTCCATGCGTGAAGGGCAGGGGAAAGCTGAGGGGGCGGGATGTGTAGGTACGCCGCAAGCAGGGGCACAGCCAACAGCCCCACCTGGACCCACCACTCCCGCATTCTGGAGGAAAAGCAGAGACCCACCGTAAGCAGTCAGGGTGACACTGTATACTCACCTACGAGCCCAAAACTGGTAAGATGGAATGGGAAATTTCTGTACCACGTAATGACTACCTTGCTATCTGCATGGACCACGGCAGAGAGTTTACCAAGAATGTGATGGCGCCTTGGCCTGCTGTGGCAATCACCACAGTTGCTCACCATTCTAATTTTAAGGAAAATAAACTTATCTTAATATGTAATCTTCCACCTCTGCTCCCCCATTTTAACCCTTAGCCCCGCTCCTCGTGCTCTTCCCACACCTGCTGAAGGGCTTTATGTAAATCAAAGGAAGGTGACTTCTATACCCTTTCATTAGCTCTTAGCAAGGTTTCCCAGGGGAGAAAAAAATTTCATTCATATTTACTCTAAAAGCTCTACCACCTACCCACCAGCCCCCACCAGGAAAATGTCTGAAATATATATATGTGCTACCTAATGTTCAAAAACAAAATACGTGTAGTAACTTATCACATGTTCTTAAGCAGAGAGCTGCTCCTGATTTTTAACAGTTCCTTATCAACCCTCCTGCCCAAGTGAACCCCAGTTTAGTATTATCGTCTAGATTTCGGCTGAGAAACTGCTCAGGGTAAAGAGTCTGTGAAAGTAAAAAGATAGCTGCACTGTATATTCCAACATAAGCAGCTTTGTCATGACCCTGACTATCTAATCTCTCGAGGTCAGGGCAGCAGATTATATTTCTGCTTTTATTAGCAGACTCTTGAAGAAGTTCCCATTTATTTAATTCATAGTACCCCCTTCTCCCCCCGTTAATAAGGCAGACCTCATACGCAGCGTGTGGGAATTGGTTCTTTTCTTTGGAAGGAACCCACTGATTTGTACACCAAACCTTCCCATACCCAGGACTTCAAAGGTCCAGGTCAATTTATCCACATTGACAAGGAGTGCTAAACAGGAATTAGAAACAGTTCCCTGACTCCTGATGGTCACCAGGGAAAGAGTTGTCAGTAGAGTGAAAGTTCTCTCAAAACAGCCAGAATGGAAATACACCCTCCAAAACTAAAATGAGAGCTGTCAAGAAAATAGAGCTATCAATAAAGGAAAGTAATTGCTAAAGCCCTGATGGAAATGGCTTTCTGTCTGGACACACACCCATGCCACAATCCCCACCCATGACTAACTAATCCAACTCACAAAATACTTTCTAAACTCTAAAAATAAATAAACCTGTGGTTCCACAGTGGTAAAATAACCATGTCCCTTAAAGAATCTCAACTCCCCAGACTATTTTTAAGGCACTTTAATGCCTTCAAGACTATTTTTTAAGGCATTTTAATCACTAAGGCAGTCATTTCTTTTTTCCTCCAGAATATCTGTCCACAAAACAGAAGCAATTATTCAGTTCTACCTTTCAAGGTAATACTAGAAATGATTTTAAAAAGTGCCAGAACATGATGGTCCCATCACAGTTTTCACCCCGCAACAGTAGCAGGCTTCATCCCAATACCGCCTTGCAAGGTCAGATGGCAAAAAGCACTGGGTTTGGACAATCATTTTCTCGGCGCTCCCGGTCCTACACCTGTCCGTACACTTCACGTGCGCATTTCATCCCTCCTTTCCCCCACGCTTCCCGTCACGTTCGTCCACCGACTCCAGCGCTGAAGCTCTCCAGTGACTCAGCAAAGAGCTAGAAAGGGGCTGCCGGAGCCGCGAACCGGGTAGGCTTGGGGGGTGGCTCGGGTACACTCCACCCGCCACACCCTCTTTTTACTCCAAGAAAGCAAAGAGGCAACAGCCTCCTCGGGGAGCTGATTTCTGTCTTATTTACCTCAGTCAAAATGCCCCAAAGACAGTTTAGGGTTTTTAGTAGTCAAGCAATCTGGTAGTCAGTAAGCAAAATGGATTAAACAAATATTTTTTGTCCAAAATCGCCATTATTTGATGAGCCATGAGTTGAGGGAATAAATTCAGCAAACTCCAGTAACCAACATTCTGGAAATTTCTGAGCCTTGATTTCTTCCTCTTGTAAACGGGAAAAAATATATTCATCTCATATCACCAAACCTGCCACCCACCTGACTGCATCACCGCAAGCTGAACTGCTTTGTAAACCCGCTAAACCAATGCAAATGACTCTGGTGTTAACAGCGTGGCAGTTTGGTCACATCACCATTCTCAGTTGCGCTTCTCCGTACTTAAATCTGAAAAATACTTGATGCCGTGGTGATCCGGCACTGCAAGTTCTGGTCACACGCATGCGGTTCCTCAAGCCACCGCGATACCCGGGTCTCGAAATCCTAAATCGCGCTGCGGTGATCACACCATTGCGATACCGGAGACTTAAAATCCTGAATCGCGACACCCGGGTCTCCAAATCCTAAATCGCGCTGCGGTGATCACGCCACTGAGATACTGGGGTCTTATGACCATAAACTGCGCCGCAGCGATGCCCGGGTCTCCAAATCCTAACTCGTGCGATGGTCTTAAAATCCTGAATCGCGCCACCGCGACACCCGGGTCTCCAAATCCTAAATCGCGCTGCGGTGATCACGCCACAGCGATACTGGGGTCTTAAAATCCTAAGTCGCGCCACCGCGATACCCAGGGTCTCTAAATCCTAAATCGCGCTGCGGTGATCACGCCACTGAGATACTGGGATCTTATCATAAACTGCGCCACAGCCATACCCGGGTCTCCAAATCCTAAGTCGTGCCGTGGTGATCACGCCACAGCGATACTGGGTCTTAAAATCCTGAATCGCGCCACCGCGATACCTGGGGTCTCGAAATCCCAAGTCGCGCTGCAGCACGCCACCGCGATACCGGGGTTCTAAAAATCCTAAATAGCACCGGGGCGATGCTAGGATCTAGAAATCCCAAATTGCGCCAGGACAATGGCCGGGTCTAAAAAGCCTAAATCGCACCAGGGCGATGCCAGTGTCTAGAAATCCTAAGTCATGCCGCGGCAATGGCGGGGTCTAAAAATCCTAAATCACACTAGGGCGATGCCGAGGTCTAGAAATCCTAAATCATGCCATAGTGACGCCTGGGTCTAAAAATCCTCAATCGCGCTAGGACAATGCCGGGATCTAAAAATCGTAAATCACACAGGTACGATACTAGGGTCCAGAGATCCTAAATTGCTCCAGGGTAATCCGAGGTCCGAAAATCCTAAATCAAGGAGATCCCGAGTTCTAAATATTCTGTTTACATGCAGGACTGACACCCCAGTCCCCGAATAGGCAGACCGGGATCCAAAGACAGAAATGCGTACTGCCTGCTCGGTGGGGTTTCGCTGGTAGGCAGCCGCAGCTCCTGCAAGCATTGTCCCCACCGCCAGCCCACACCCTAGTCCTGGGACGGCCAGACACACCCCCCGCGCGCCAGCCACGACCCATGCACCCACCTGCGTAGGCGATCTCGGCGCACCATGGCCGGGTTATCCCATGCCCGCCGCAGGGTTGCAGAGCACTGGGCGCACGCAGCGCCCACAGCAATGCAGTACGAACGGCAGCTGGGGCGTAGCCCACAGGCAGCACAGGGTGGCCGCGGATGGCAGCGAGCGGCCACTCGGGCGTGCGCTGCGGCACTCCACTTGCCAGGCTAGGCTGCCGCAGAGGAGGCACTGTGCAGCCGCTGCCCGCCAGTACGCGCAGGGATGTGCTGGTGGCCGCTGCAGCGCAGAGCGAGTGGGCATCGACTTTTAAAGCCCACCCGCGCCCCGCCTCTGGACCGCCTACCGCGCCGCAGCGCCCCTCCCGCCTGCTCGCCGCAGAGCCCCTCCCAGCTGCCTCGCCGCCGCCACCGCTGCAATGATGGGACGTCCCTCTCGCAGCAGCTTTAGGGGGCACCTTCAGGGGTGTCGACCCCCCCCCGTCCCCCAGCTAGGATCCTGCTGCTCCCTCGCAAACCCCCAACCCCACTCAAGGTTCTACTGCAGAAACCCTTCCCTGGCGAGATATTGTCGCGGGCAAAACCGAGACTACCTCCAGCCCAGAGGGTGGCCGCTCGACCTCAGGGCTGGCGAGGCTCAGGAGTGCCTGCTGTGGCGCCTGCTCCCATCGCATGCCCGAAATGTGGGTGCTGAACCGTGAGAGTGCCCACATCTAAAGCGGCAAGCCACGAGCACCCGACACCCCCTAAGCACCTAACTACGGGCAACGACCGAGGGCACAACCAAGTGGCTAGGGAACAGCAAGCTCTGCTCTACGCACAACCGAGCTAGTGGGCCGATGCATGGGATGGCCGCTACGGAGCAAAGCCGGCAAAAGTTGCCGAAAGTGGTTTCTCCCGTGCGGGCCACCACGCAGCGGCACGGGCACGTTTCCTTTGCAGCAGCGCGACGTGGTCGGCATGCCAGACGCCCGCCGCAGCGCCCTCGCGCCCTCTGGGCCAGGCGCCAGTCCCGTGCTGCGCAGAGCGGTCAGCACAGCCAGGGGAGCAAAGCTCCTCTTTATTCGTGAACGACAGCATCACAACGCAAGGGCCCCAGAGGTACAAGAAGAAGGGAAAGAATTTTTTTAATCCATAATCCTTTAAAAGGTATCTATTACGCCTTTGAAAAGAAAAGCACAGAGTATCACGGTATCTGTGTTCATTTTCTGGCTGTGAACTGAAATTCTGATGCACGCGCGCGGGCTGTGAACCACCAAGCGAGGAAGCCGGCCGGTGCCGCTCTGTCCAGAGGGGGCGCTGCAGGCCTCTCTTCCACTGGTGCCGGGCCACTCCGCCGCCCAGGCTCTGCGGGTTCTGCGGGCTCTGCGGGCTCTGCAGCCCAAACAGCCGGCCCCCAGGGCATCTAACGGGGATCTCGGGCCATCTAACGGGGATCTCGGAGTCACCCAGCAGACACTGGAGAAACCCACATATCAGTGTGTCATCAGAATGTGTGGCACAATACAGGGTCTACTTCTACTGGGGTCTGCTTGCCCCCAGTCAAAGCATTCATGAAACAAATGCTTATTTAGCACTACAGTGCGCTAAGAGCTGGGAGTCCAAAAAGAACGAGAGATGGCCCCTGCCCTAGAACAAGACGCTGGCCATCTGGAAGGGAAGACAGACAAGAATTGACGCTTTTTAAATTTTCTTTTTAATTTCCTAGCAACATTTTGTGACCGGTTGGCCCCCTCCTCCCTAACGTGTAAGGCCCTCAAAGGGCGAGCCCAAGTATTATCCACCTTTTGTATCCCCAGAGCCCGCCACAGTGCCGGCCACAAAGCAGGGCCCTAATAAATACTGCATGAATAAGTACAAGAATTTGAGGGCACACAGGGGAGGAAGTAATTAAGGGGAGGGGGGAAGGGTGGTCTTGAATGATGAATAGACATTTACCAGAGAGACAAAGAACATTCCAGCCAGAGGGGACGGCATTTGCAAAGCACCGGGAGGCTCAGAACAGCACATTTGGGGAAAATGGCAAGTCCTTTCGGCCAGGGCACCAATACGCAAAAAAAAAAAAAAAAAAAAAAAAGTAGGCTAGAAAGAGTATTTCATCCTAGGGAGTTTGGAATTTGTCCTAAAGAAAATAAGAAGCCGCAGATGGATTTAAACCCTTTATGCCCTTAATTGGTTACTTAAAATTTAAATTAGTCCCTTTGCAAGTCAAGGATTACCTATTTTAACTAACCACCACCACCTTTTAAAGACCGAATTACTTCCCAAAATTTAAATGGGTCCTTCCAACAGAGTAAAAGCTTTTCTATTTGAATGACAACAGTAACAACAGCCTTTGCATTATATATTTTTCATATCTATTGTCAATGGAAACTTTTGAGTCCTACAAACAACTCCACACTTTCATTCTCACCAGGCCAAAAGTACCAGCATCCAAGCCGAAGGCAAGTTTCTATTTAATGGACTGAGTGCCCAGAAAGGATCTTATTCTGAAGGCCATGCTCCCACGTGGAGACTGGAGGAGAAACAGTTTAAGGCCCTGGGGAAGGGAGCCCAACCGGGGAAGCTCCTGAAAACAACAGGAATTCTAAGTCTGGCGCGCTCAGTAGAAATCCTCCCTTTGGACTGAGTGGTTAGGAAAAACTTCCTTGAAGGAGGGATTGAGGTTAAGATGGGCATGGAACCCAGAACTCGGTTAGGCGGAGAAAGCATTCTTGTTTGAAGAACCTCCAGCACAAAGACAGGGAGTTGGGAAAACGCCGAAGTCAGCTAAAAGAGATCAGCTCTGCTAAAGCCGAGAGGGAATTTGCTGTTGGAAGTCGGGGGAGAAAATGCAGGCCATAATGCCCCAGCAGCCAAAGAGTTAACAAATCTTCCAAATGTGCCTGATTTACTTCCATAGGGGAGCTTCCTCCACAGGGGGAGAATCTGACCCTAGGTATAAAACACTTGGAGCCCTGAGAAAACATGCAACCACACATAAATCCAAAGGCCGCTTCCGGCTCGCTCTCGGCGCCGCTTTCAGTTCCCCCATACAAATGCTATCCCGGACAGACACCACATGCAGCATTTCCAGTAGCTTACCATACATTCCCGTCCCGTTCCTATCCTAACACAGTTTCACATCATAAGACCACAGATTTGTGCAAAAATTCATACAGAAAGCTCTGCATGTATTATCTCACTGATGCACACAGCAGTATGGGATCAGAATGGCTGGTACCACGGGTTCACTAATCATATTTTTCTAACCCCAGTTTGAGACCCATAATATGACAAATACAGAATATTTATGGAAACAACAGAACAGGACTGGGACTGCCACTTTCAAGAGCCATAATTACAGACTCAAATAAACTGAAAAGGTTCCTGATGGGAGAAACTTAGTTGAACAGCATCACTTGTTAAAGAGCCAAGGAGTTTTACTTGACAAACGCGGTGGGTCAGTGTGATAGGACTCCAAAAAAGCTCCTGAGATTGTAGGCTATAGAGAAGTACCCAAAATAAGTTAATCCTACTCTATTCTGCTAGTTAGATTTCACAGCAAGTATTTCATTCTGTTCTACAGAGCAGATACTAAGAGACACATAGACAAACAGGAATGTGTTCAGAGAAGATCAACTAAAATGAATTGCAACCATATCACTGAAGGTGTAACAGTTCTCAAACGTTAAGCTCCTACTAGGAGCATGGATCTTCACCCAATTTATTCCTAATCCACACAGTAACCTGGCTAGATGAGTATTTTCACTCATAGATTTCAGAGAAAGATACAGCAGCTTGGGGCGGTAAGCATTAGCATGTGAAGGGACTGGGAAGTGAACGCAGATGTGTCTGGCTCTAACGCTGGCGTTCTTTCCACTACCCCACACTGCCTCCCTGTCTGAAATAACTGGGCATGTTTAGTTTGAAGAAAAGAAGCCTTGTGGAGTAAGTGGAAGAAGGAAATGTGTTAGCAGTCCTCAAATATTTGTGGAAGCAGCATTAGACATTTTATTCTGTGTGACTCCAATGAGTGCAAATTGTAGAGAAACAGATGTCCATTCAACATAAAGAATTTTCCAACAGTCAGGGCACTCTAAAAGGATCGGGTGGCTCAGCCATTTTGGGACGTGACAAGTTCCTTGTCACTGGGGGCTGGGTAATCCTGAGGCAGGTATGCAATCTCTATGCACATGAGTGAATGAATGATCTTCAAGATCTTTTCCCGTCTGATAGAAACTAAGGTTCAGAGATATATTGGAACTTGGCCAAAGCTGATCCCTCTACTGAAGGCACAAATCCACAACTCAGTCTTCCCTAGGTGTGTCCCTAAGCCCAGAACTCTTTGTACAACATGCTGCTGAGTGCTGACGGCAAAACAAATTGAAGAAACTGTCAATAAAATGGCATCAACCTCCCTCTCAACCAGTTTAACCAATATATCGGTGAACAGTCTTCCTCCCTCCTCGGGCTCATTTTTGGGTAAAAGTCTTTGGCTACAAAAAGCTCAACAGATGAACAGTACAGGAGGGAAGCACCAGAGCTGAATAATCCCTTAACCAGATGCATCTAAATGAGAGAGAGCTGTTTCTATAGGTTACGGCATTCGTGGGCACCCAAGAAGTATCTTCACACACCCTCTGCATCACTGCACACACTCCATTATCCCACACCGGGGACTCCTGCTCCACTGTCTCACATCTAGAGGACATCATATCCACCCAAACAGATAAACAGGTTGAAGGATTCTAATTAAATAATAAAATCTTGTATTTTTATAGCTCTTTACCCTTTCACATATATTATCTCATTTGTCCCTCACCAGTCCACTAAGGAAAACAGCTACTTTCTTTCAAACAGACAAGCAATTTTCTAGCTGCCTGGGGAAGAAAGGGCTAAAGCACACTATTTCTCGTTTTTTTTTTTTTTTAACTACTTTCCACATGAGATTAGTACTCCAGCCTGGATGAGTCAACCCAGGAGCAGGTGTTTCAGTTTTCCTCCATCGCTCTTATTACCTCACACCTTCTTCAGCTGCCCACGCCCGCCCCCGAGGGCCCTCACTCCCGCCAGCACCGCAGCTCCGTGGCCTCGCGTTTCCCGCGCGGGTTCCACCCGGCCGCCCCCTCCAGCAGTGCCCGCACCTGCGGCTCCCACCCCGGAAGGAAAGCAGCTCCCGGGTGCCGAGCGGCTGCGCCCCCTCGCCCGCC